GCCACCCTCCACGTAGAGAATTCTGAATGCCTAGGGTTTTGTGCCTTAACAAGCCTATATATGGTCAACCAATTAACACACAGATATAACATTAATTGCTATGCTTAGCATTTTAATCCCAAACTCAGGATTATTAACCTACTCAATTTTACAAGAATTATCATATTTTTCTTATATTTTTTGGAACATCTTTCCGGTACGCGCTTTTCATAGCCAATACCAGTTTCTGGCACCAGTTCTCATTGTTTTAACTTGAAACTCGTTTTACAAGTCCTACATGTTATTCTAGTAATTATCATGCACTTATTATAATTTTCCGGGATACTTTTTCGGTACGCATTTATACCGACTAGCAGAACCGGTATCTGCACTTTTCGTCAAAAAAGCGACTTTCAACATTATTACTCACTTACTATAATTATTAGAGCCTCATAATAATTATTATGGTCAATTATCTCATTAAACTCATAATTAACTGATTAATTTTCTTAATTAACGGTGCAGATTCTTACAATCATTCTTCTTAAGGGTATTCATACACGAAGTTTAATGTATTATATAGTGTTCTTAAAACAATTGAGGCATTTTCTTATTCACAAATTCAGCTCCATTATCAATTCATATTTGTTTCACTTAAGTGCCAAATTGTGTACGTACTATAGTGACAAACTTGCACAAAGCCAGCAGAGTCTCATTTTTTTTTTTGTCATGAAATAAATCCATATACTTTTACTGTGATTGTCATCATTGGTCAAGAAATAATGCACGTCACTAAAAGAGCACAAGGAATAAGGAGCCCCACAAACCAAAGATAACTACCCTTAAAAAAATGTTAAGAAATAACCTAAACAATTCAAATGTGACAAAAAAAGGGATAAAATACTTTCAATTCTTGGAGATCAAACCTGAGTCATGATAATTTATGCATTCAACTTTGACCGTTAGATCAACTTTCTATGTCTATAATAATAATTTTATATGTAATAATTAGAATTAATTAGTATTACTATCAATATTATTACCAATCAATTTTATCATTAGATCGATTATGTTGATTCAACAATTATAATTATTTCCATCTCTGTATGATTATGATTCTTTATATTTGATATTTTATATTTATTTTCACTTTTGTGTGGTTATGATTTTTCAAATTTAATGTTTTCACATTAAATATGGGAAATTATAATCATACAAAGATGGAAATAAATATAACTGATAGATCAACATAATCGATCCAACGGTGAAAGTGATTGGTAGTAACACTAATTGGTTGTTATAATATCCTACCCCGTTTTATATTTATTATATATTATTATGGGAAATTATTCTCTCATATAATAGGAGAGAGTTTGTAGATACATCGACAAACGTGTCTTTTATTTATTTATTTTTTATTTTTTAACACATGATGGGACCCATCATGTGTTGGATCTATGACATGAGAGGAGTATCTCCTACAACATGAGATTAAATGCTCCCCATTATTATATAAATTCAATTTAATCGATTCAACCTGTAATTAGGGGTGTTAACGGGCCGAGCTGAGCCGAGCTTTGGTCTTAAAAGGCTAAGCCTAAATGTGTCGGCCTTACTAAGCATGTTACCTGTTATGAATATAATTATCAGCCTGTGGCCTGCCTTATTTACAAAAAATAAAAGCTTGATTTAACCTGTTAAAAAAAAATAAGACAACAAAAATTTATCCAAACAGAATATACAATCAACAACACTAGTAATTCCATAAATATTCATAAATTCAATGTATATTCAAACAATATAATATAAAACAAAATCATTCAAAAAGTCTGTTTAACTAATAAAATAGGGATGAAATAGATTGAGAGGAGAGAGAAGGCTACTACAAATAGTATAAAAAATATAAATAAAAATAAAAATTAATATACTAGGTCAGTCTGAGAGGCTTCAAGGCCGAGCTTTTGAATTGGAGCCTGAGGCTTTTTTACTAAACGAGCTTTTATACAAGTCCAAGACTGGTTCTAATAACTAATATTAAGCATATAATCTCAGATCTTCACGAGCCGAGCTAAAGACCCCTGACTCGTTTATCATCCCTACCTGTAATATTCCAACTGAGTTGATTGGAGCAAACTTTATATTACTGTTAGTTAGTTATATATAGTCAAAATACAACTAAGGTCTCGAATTAGTTAATTAATGAATTACAAAATTAAAGTCCTTACTTAATTACCGCAGTAAAAATAAGGCCTTTCGGCAACACTTTTTTCTTCTATAATTGAGTATATATGTTGAATAAATATAAAAGGAATATATAAAACACTATAACAATTTATGATCCCAGCATTCCGTCAAGGAAATATTTCCTATTAGCATAATAGCATGTTTCCTAAAAATTCGAAAAGTGGCTCATCGTGAACCTGAAGCCAAATTGATTTCCCATATAGTATATAGGTGTGCACATGCAAGTTGGGATTAGATTAATTTAGGCAAGTTGGAATTTGCGTTATATTGATTTTTGATATTCTTTATGAAATTGAAATCATTCCATGTCCTCCGACCGTACAAGTTATGATCTTAATTTGCGTTATATATTGAGCTGGCAGTGTATCGAGTCTTGACCTATCTTCATCCATTATTCTCCATACAAGAAATCTATTTAAAGTATGAAAATGGATATTCTAACTATCAAAATTTTCTACTACTAATTTATTACCTATCTAATCACTATTAAATTAACATTTTTTCTCTCTTTAATTTTTTTTTTACATTCTCTTTCTTCAAAAAAATTTTTAACATTCTTTGTGATCCAATAATGATGTGATGAGTAGTAAGTTAGAAGTAAGAGTTTTTGGTAATTAAAATATCCTCACTCTTAAAATATTACCTCAATGGACATAGGCTTAAAATAAAAAATTAGGAACGAAGTACCATGCAAATCTCACTAGTCACTACCTTAATCTACTTTCCAGCACCAGAATATCTTCTACATTATAAACAGTAACCTTAACCACAAAAGACACATAAGCATAAACATCAAAACAAAAGAAGTAAAAAAAAGTACACGCATAAAAACACAAAACGAAAGCACAGGAGCTAGCACGTGAATGATATCGCTTCCAACAAGATTAGCATAGATACTCTACTCCCATAAAAATCTTTTATTACAACCTCACAGAATAAAGCTATGGACACACAATCTTTAGTATTTTACAAGTTCTTGCTTTTGACGAATTACCAAACAAGGAATAGTGGAAAAGGACGCCGTGAAAAAGTGGTTCTTTTTTATGCCACCGGTTCAGGGAGCCGACTCGGGGATTTGACGGCGCGGCACGGTTCAGCATTGACCCCAGTCAACCCTACCCGTTCTCTGACCAATGACGGTGAAACATCACTCACAAACTTCGAAGATTGAATAAAATCTCATGAACCACCCGCGAAATATCGTGCTTGGGGTATATCTCTAGTACTTTAATTAGTAACGTATTTTAGGGATCCGAAAAAGTCTTTTTTAAAGATTACACACCTAAGTGGATTTCAGAATCTCAGCGCCATCTCCAACACCATCTCGCAAAAATATAAATAAAAAAGAGAGAAGATTTTCGGATTTATTAGTGAGAGAAAGATTTGATTTTCCAAAAGAGACTTTATTGATTATTATGTTATCCTAAAAGAGAAAAAAAGAGAGAGTTCCTCTGTTACATCTTGTGAGGAAATTATAACTATATATAAAAAGAGTTCGTTTTTTGTGTGACATTAAACCCAAAATAATATTATTTTTGAGACAAAAATTATGGTATTTTTATAATTACAATTTATTTTAAATTTTTAATAATTTTTTATTATAATTTTTTAATTTTTCAATTCAAAATAATATTATTTTGAAAATAAATGTAAATAACTTATCAAATTCACCGTAGAAATATTAAAATCATATAAAAAATGTTTACCGAAAAAAATCATACAAAAAATGAATTAATGATAACAATTTTATGAATAAAGAATTTCTCCAGTTCACTATAAATAAATGATCTCAAAATTACGTCATTTTAAATTAACAAAGGTTATTTTTATAATTTTTTTTACCGGAACATGTTATTTTATCTATCTCACTTAATATCGTTGTATTACAATTTCATCTTATTCTTTTTCTCTGCTCTCAACCCCTTGAATGTCTCCACTTGAAACAAGTACTTGAGGAATATTGTCGAATACTTATCTACATCAGGCCAGATGACGAGCGCGCAAGAATCTTCTAACCATGAAATCATCTACATCCCACAAAGGGTCAACTCAAATTTCAACTACTTGCTTCCTAATCAGTGATGTGGTGAACAAACAATTTGGGCATCATAAATTTTGCATTTTAATCATAAGAGTTAAGAAAAGGTCAAATTTTGGGTATTGCATTATGTTTAATCCAATGATCTGTATCATGTTTCCCAAATCATCCCACCTTTATTTTATCCAACGATAATGATGGTGGTCGGAGCAGAGAGAAAGAATAGGAGGTGGTGGGAGAGAAAAAATGGTAGAAGGATTTGTTTTATTTTGTAAATTTTTATAATTGGATGAGATTGTAACTAACTGTTAAAAGAGCTAAGCAAAGTTAAGTAGGACAGGAAAAATAACATTCCTTTTTTATCATATGAATCTTATCGAAATATTTTTTATTAATTTGTTTAAAATTATAAAAACACTCCTTATTAATTCAAAATGATATAATTTCGAGGATAACCGGAGGGTGACGGATAAATACTTTGTCCTAATTTTATAATTTCCCTATACCAATATTTTTTTTTATCAGTATTAATTCACTTATAATTATTTCACATAATACGATGGTGTTAAATAACAGCTATGCATGTATATAGCAACAACACAATATGCCACATTACATTAACATGTTACAACGTATTTATTGCCTACTCACGTCAGGGAATCCCGCTTTCTCTTTCTCTCTTTATTATTTTTCCTTTTCTCTTTCCCTCTTTCTCTTTGGCTCTCCTTGGTCAAGCGAGTGATGGAGACGGATGGTGTCGTTTCTTTTAATATCTCACCGGAAGATTCCGAAGAGGTTCATGTTTTGGCTGTCGATGACAGCCTTGTTGATCGAAAGGTCATTGAACGCTTGCTCAAAATATCAGCTTGTAAAGGTGAGTGTGCTTTGATAAACAAAAATAAAAATGGGGTTCTTATTTTTTTTATTGGTGTTTGGAATTTGTTGGGGTTGAGGATTGTTTGTGGGCTTTGGAAAATTGCAGTTACTGCTGTGGATAGTGGAATCAGAGCCCTGCAATTCCTGGGGCTAGACGAGCAGAGAAGGAACTCTGAATCTGATGGTTTTATTGTATGTATCAGAGGAAATTTCATTTTCTAGGATTTTTTTTCTTTTCCATATGAGTTAGACCTTAATTTTCTGATTTGTGTTTTTTTCTTCTTCTTTTCCGTAACAGAGTTTAAAGGTGGATCTAATAATCACCGATTACTGCATGCCCGGAATGACTGGTTACGAGTTGCTCAAGAAAATCAAGGTTAAAAGTTAGAAACAAAAATCCTTCATTTTTTTTCTAGAAGTTATGGATAATGTTAGTGAAAACTGATTAAGATTGTTGATTTGAAACAGGAATCATCCACTTTCAGAGAAATTCCTGTAGTGATTATGTCTTCTGAAAACATTTTGCCCCGCATAGACAGGTATTATAATTATTACACTGCTACATTTTTAATATGAAGTTAATGAACATATATTAAAAACTTTCACGACATGAAAAATTCATAGGAACTATGATTTTTTTATTTATTTATTTAGAAAATTGAAATGATCTTGAAATTTTGAAAATATGTAGATGCTTGGAGGAAGGTGCAGAGGATTTCATAGTGAAGCCAGTGAAGTTATCTGATGTGAAAAGATTGAAGGATTATATGACGACGAGAGAGGTCAGAGGAGGTAACGGTGGTGTGGAGATCAATAATAAAAGGAAGCTGCAAGAAACCTCTGACCTGTCATCATCACCACCGTCCGTTTTCTCATCAACACTTTCACCATCACCATCACCATCTCCTTCGTCTTCACCCGGCGTGCCTGATTCTCCAATCAGACGGCTTAAATTGACCACCGTCGATTAACTTTTTCTTATATCATCCACATTTTCCTTCTCTCCAGTGGGCACTGCTGCAGTATCTTCATTTCTGTCTCTTTTCTTTATTTTAATTTTTTTTAAAAGATTTATTGCTTTCCTCTTTTGCGGGTTCAAACTGCAATTACCCGTTGTTTTTAACGGTTTTTGTTGCATTACCCTGTTCTTATAATTTGATAATTGTTTTTTGTTTGTTTGTTTGGATGAAGGTGGGTTAAAGTTGTTGAAGTATATTACTATTGATGTTTTCCTTTTTTCCTTTTTTATTTTTGAAGAAAAAGTAAAGATGAATTGAAAAGTTATGCACTTTTATATGAACGGGGTAATCAAGATCACGAAGAAGGAAATAAAATAATATATGGGCAAGAAGGGGTGTAGAGAAGGGGAATCACTGAAACAATGAATTTGGGTTTGGAAATGATGTGAAACAGATGGAATATAAGTTTTGCAAGATCTTGTCTGCTATAAAGAATAAGAAAAGATGGAGATGTGAATATTGGACATGTTTGAGGTGTCCCCCTGAGGAAGAGGGTGGGAAGGAGTGGTGGAGCCTTTGGAACAGATGTACTTGTGTAATTATCTCTAATGGAGGAGGTTGTGTTGAATATGGTTCCTATTTTTCATCTAGTTTTACCACTTAATGTGCCCGTGATGCAGATAAAAGCCGATAATGTAAGTTAGGTGAACAGAATAAATGAGGGTAAATAGTGTGTGCAACTTCTCTCTTCCTATTTTTTTTTTCAAGTTGTCATTGTATGTGTGTGATTGAATTGATCCTTACAAATTGGCTTCAATAAATCTTCTTTTGGATCATAAAACATTGCCTTATGTCAAATGGAAGTGGAACCTAGAATATTTGGTTGTTGCAACTGGACCAGAGTGATCTAAACAGAGTTTTTTCTTTTCTTTTTCTTTTTCCTTTTCCTTTTTCCTTTTTGTTTTAATACAATCTGTTGTAGGTTTGGTTGTTTTAATCTTTTTTAACTGCTCGGCCCTCTTCCGCAAAACATTGGAAAGCAGAAATGGATTATGTTATTTAATATCATTATATCATGTGAAAGTATTTTAACCATTAATAATAAAATTATCAATAATGATTTTGTAACTTCTTATTCTTATTTTTTTTTTTTCTATCTCCTCTATTCATATTTGTATGATTAAAATTCTTTTACATGACATATTCATGTTAATGAACACATGAGAGAATCTATTCCCTTCAAAAAGCACATGCTTCATTTTTATGTAAATTAGAGTAGAGGTAACCATACCAATCAAAATTGTAAAAATTCCAACTTTTTGCGCTAGAAAACATTCAAGCTAAAATAGAAGTTGCTGAACTAAATGTGGCACCGCATATAAACAGTTGTTAGTTTGACTGACTCAAACCACTTTTCCTTGTGTGTTGTAACGCGCAACAGGAGGCAACTCTTAAGTCAAGCTTCATATATCTACCGATTACTCTCGTGACATTCTCCAATCTTGATTATAATGATGGTACCCATCACTAATCCTCAACATCTAACGTGATGTTGCCCTAATGCAATATTAAAATTGATGAAGTTTGAGAAGTTTTTGCTTATACAAAATTCGCCACAACGAGATAGATGAAATGCTTTTGAATTTGGGCTAGTAGCTTTAGTAAGTAAGTACCCTATCCCAGCTTCGAAGAGTTTTCTCTTTGGATCTCCTTCACCGTGTTATATGGTAATAAATCATAATAAAAGATATGTAGAACAATTGGAAATCTTTTATTATATTAAAGAGTATCTTTAATATTTAAAAATCGTAATCTTGAAGGCTGTAAAATTATATTATAAAAATCATAACTTTTTTATTTATTATCTTTTTCCTTAATTAGAATTTTAAAACATCAAATGAAACATTAAGTTATGGGATTTTCTTTTGGTATAGAGATGAAGTATTTTTTTATGCTCTTTTTTAATTATTTATATAATAAAATTATATTTGAAATTTATGAAATGTTATAAGATGTAAATTCATCATAAAAGTACATATTTTAGTACCTAAAATAACAAAAATAAAGTAGTATTAAGTGATATGGAATTATTATATTTTTTAAAAATTAAGATGACCAATTTTTTAATTAAGGAACTATTCTAATTAACTAGTTAAGTAAGAGTCACAGACTCACAATGTAACATATTGTAATTTATACTCTTATTAAAGGAAAAAGATAGAGGGAGGAACATAGGAGGTGACTATAATCCATTTTAGGACATAGGTTGGGCCTATCTAACTAACAGTGGATGGTTATATTGGGGTCCCATAAAACCCAAATTGCAAGGCATAAGCAGACGAATTTTCTACTAGGCATCAATGTTGTATCTGCTAGCTGGCTCCATAATCCAGTGCCCTTTAAAATATCATGGTGCAAAGTTTGGTTTTAATTATGTCGCTAATGTTTGGCAAAATTGTGATACGTAAAATCTGCTTTGTTTTGTTTGATTCTGTCCCCATGTGATATCTTATATCTGGGCCTTATGATATTTGTTGTTATCATTGTAGACAAAAGTTCATTATGCATGACATATTGACTCATTTCCTAAAGCATTTCTTGTTGCCTAATTGAGCTAAATTTATATGCTAAAACAGGAATCATCATGAGCCAGTTGCCTAATAAAGAAATTCCATGATATGCACTCACTATTCACCAATTATTCAACATGACAAATAGATATTTCTGGTGGAATTATATTAGATAACTACGTCAAAAGTTGTCATAGATTTTATATTATTACAATTTTTTGAATTTATTCAAATTTAATTGATTTTTATATAAATATATATTTTAATGACTTTGCATAAACAACGTTTTTATTCGTATAATTTAATAATACCCTTTATCTATGCTTAAGGTTATTAAAACTATTTTTTTTTTTTTGATAACATATTAAAACTAATTTTAACCTGCAGTGTTTCAAGTAAAAAGTTAGTTTAAGTTTAAGCCTTTTCTGTCATATTTTTTGTTTATCATTTAGCTTTTTTTAATTAGGGTTTGTTTTTTCTGATGTTACTTTAGATAACTTTATCTAATGTTCATCAAAACGACGTCGTTTTGAGACGGAAATCATGGTATTTTTGTAATTTTAATTTATTTCAGGGTTATAATAGTCTTTATCACTCTAATTTTTTAATTCTTCAACCCCAAAACGACGTCGTTTCGATGAACATTAGATAAAGTTATCTAAAGTAACATCGGAAACATTTTTCCCTTTTAAATTATACACCCTTATATATTAAAGGGAAAACTTTATTTTTACCCATAGTGGTTTTGTGATTTATCATTTGACCCCTTGTGATTTCAAACTTATCACTTAGACCCATTGTGCTTAAAAAATTTATCATTTAACCTCTCGTGGTTTCAAACTTTCACTTAGATACCTTGTGGTTAGAAAAAATTTCACTTAAATTCCTTGTGGTTACGAAAATAAAAAATTTTAAAAATAAAATTTAAAATAAATATTTTTTTTTATTTTATATACTCACCTAATGCATTTAGGGTTTAAAAAATAGTTTTTTTTTTTAAAAAAAATCACTTATTTTTATCAAGAAAATAAATTCAAATCAAATATTATTTTATTTTATCTATTTTTTACCCGATATCGCTATAAAATTATCTAAAGAAAATAAATATCTTATTTTGATAATACACATATTTAATTTGTCTTAAATAATATTTTTGAATTTCAAAAATATTTTAAAAAATTAAGATAATTTATAAATTAATTTCAGAATAAATAACATGAAATATTTTTTAAACCACAAATGCATTCATTACATAAGGATATAAAATAAAAAAGGGAGAAAATTTATTTTAAATATTTATTTTTTAAAATATTTATATTTTAAACTACAAGGTGTCTAAGTGAAATTTTTTGTAATCAGAAGGGGTGTAAGTGAAAATTTGAAACCATACGGGGTTGAATGACAAAATATCTCAGCACAGTGAGTCTAATTGATAAGTTTAAAATCACAGGTGGTCAAATGATAAATCACAAAATCACATTAGGTGAAAATGAAGTTTTCCTTATATTAAATTAGGTTATATTTTCTTGAGATGGACTTAATTGTTTTATCTTTTTTAGTTGACGGACTTATTTTCTTACTTCATGACATATTCATTACTTTTTTTAATGTTAAATTCAAATAAATTTAAATTTATCATGCATGTATTTTTATAATTTTAAATATGTTTATCTTTTAATATATATTTTTATATTCTACTTAAATTAATCATACATACCTCATTCTTAATTTTAAACATTTTTTTGAATGTTCTTTAAATTTATATTTTTGAATTTGAAAATATTCAAGCAATACATAGGATCAGTGTTTTAAAACCCGGATCGACCCGGGACTCAGTAACTCGGTGGGTTCCCCGGTCCGAGCAGGTAGTTGGACCGCTTCTGCAGTCAACCCGGATTGAACCGGTTGACTCGGCCGAAACCCGACGACCGGTTGACCCGAGTTAGACCGGTTATTCCTTTTTTTATTTTTGGTAATTTTTTTTTGTTGATAAGAACTCTTGAATCAAATCATATTCATATTTTATGATGAATATGATTAAAAGTAAGGTGAAAATAATAAAGTATTTTAGATTAGTGCAGTTCGTTTATGTAATTTAGTTGCATCTTATAATGATCTCATGAAGTTAAGTGGTGATAAACACTGATGGTCTCATGATCTTATCTCAACGATGGACATTTTTTCTTAGTGTATATGTCATGCATACTATTTGTTATCATGATAACGATGACACTTTTTCTTAGTGTATATTTCATGCATACTATTTGTTAACACGATTTAATTTATCCGTATCATGTCAAGCACAAAAGGTGCATTTAACTTATATTGCAATTTTAATCCAATATTAAGATATGGTCTAGAGCTAGACGCTTAGAAGTACATAATATTTGCTATCATTAAAAATCAATTTATTTTTTGAAGCTCATTGATAGTTTTCTTATGTGAATTTTTATTAATATAAGTAATATTTTTATATTTTTAATATGTGAACAATAAATCCGGTTGAACTCGGTTGAACCAGTGACCCAGTACCTCAACCGGTTCGATGACCGGTCCGAGTTTTAAAACACTGCATGGGATATTTATAGTTATAGTGTTTTATTTGAAAATAGATATTCTCTTGTGTTATTAATTTG